CTACTCAATCACATGCCCGCTTGTGACACCAGCCAATTCTGCAAACAGAGATCTTTTTTGGCCACTCCTAGGTTTTGCCTGGGTCTGGCTGCAGCTTCTGAAGCCCATTTCTGGTTCATGATGACTCTGCACATTGTGATGGGTGAAGCCGGAACCTACCAAGCCTTACAATAGATCTCATTTTTGCTTAATATGTATAACTCCCCTGCATCACTTCAGCTGTAAGCAATACGTCTCTTGTTTAAGTGGCAATTGGCTGGGGTTATTGTTTTCCCTGGGGAATCCCTCTGGTTTCCCATGTAGAACTAAAGTAAAATCCTAAGAACAGGCCTTAAATTCTAAGCAGGGGGTAGGATTTGAAGGAGTAAGCATATCTGGGGGCTTCAAATGAACTCCCCCAAACCTCTCCACCTCCAACACTTTACTCAGCAGAAACATGGAGAGCTCGTATTAGAGCAGGCATTGGGCGCAGCAAGTCCATGTCCTGCCGGGCCCCTCACTCAGCTTTGTCTCTAAACCATGGGATTGATCAGGTGTAGATTTTGTGGTAGAGAACACTGAACTGGGAGACAGAAGTCTGAGAATCCAATGAGTGACATTTGGGAATTCCTTGTGGAAAGACAGGGAGTGGCTCTGGGGGAGGGGCTCTCTCACGCACCCTTCACCATGGCTCCGCACTCCATGAATCCAGGATTCTATGACATTCTCCACTGCAGCCTAGGCATATGCAGTGTTTCTGGAACCTCAGTTATTCTCACACTAATATCATGGTTTTTTGCCTCATCAGCATATCATCTGTACTTTCATGAGCAGTTTTCTTTAAATGAAGTCACTCTTTTTACTTTAACATACTCACTCAAAAAGGAGACTTTATACCATTTCCATAAGTGCAAGACCTGTAGAGCCTGCCATAAATTAGAGGTATGCATTTTTTAAATTAAATTATTGTAAAAATGTTAAAAGTACATAAAGAAATGCCGGTAAAAACACTTCTAGTTTACAAAAGTGTAAAACTGAAAAAAGTCACTCAATGGGAAAAGTGAACCATTGAAGGCCAGTTAGTTATATGAAAGCAGGGCCAGCCTTGATCGCCATCGTGACCATCAGGTAGGTGACAAGGCAAGGGTTACCTACCTTTGGCAAGGGTCATCGTCACCAACATCATTTTCTTCTGCTTCAGGGAACATCTTCCTGTTAACATTCAGTTCAATGGGCAGAAACTGTATTATGTTTACACCTTCCCAGGACCATGATGTTGTGTTATACTTAGGGGGTCAGACTCCCTGGTGTCAATCAGGTCCTAGGACTGACTGGTTCGAGCATCTGGAGGAAATTTTGGCCTGGTGGTGGGTCGTAGAGGAAAGACCTGTAATCCCATGGACATAACTAGTCACCCTCAGTGGCTCAAACAACCAGAAATTGGGCCACGAACATTCGTCAGGCAATCACCCTGTTACTGCTGAGCAAGGATTATTAGTGAGAGTAGGGTAAACTATGGTAGCAAATAGGCCCAGAATTTCAACAGCTTATTTTTCGTGTAAGTAAAGGACTAGAGTATTGTTCAGGTCAACGCGATGGCTGTCCTCCATATGGTCATTCAGAAATCGAAATTAGGGTATCGCCAAACTTTCTTTATAAAGGGCCAGATAGTAAGTACTTTAGGCTTTGCAGGCCATGGGCTGACTGTGGCAACTACTGTGGTCGTAAGGTGGTGCATAAACAATACCTATGCAAATGGGAATGGCTGTGCTTCAATAAAACTTTATTTTTAAAGACAGTAGGCCAGATTTGGCCCTTAGGCTGTAGTTTACTCACTCCTGATCTAGGCTATGGTGGCTTTACCTTCCTTAACTCATGGTTTCTAAAGTTGCCATAGGTGTCAATTTCCTGTCACCTGGAAGAGGCAGGAGCAGAAGTGTGACCATGGAGCATTTGTGTGGGCCAGGCCTGGCTGTGGCACTCTGCACTCCCACTCAGAGGACATTGGTGAGAACTTATTCACACGATCAATCTAAATGCAACCAAGACTGGAAAATGTAATCTGGCTGTGTACCAAGGAAGGTGGGACAGATTTTAACACACTGCCAGCAATCCTTGTCACAGGTAATATCCATTAAACCATGGACTTGATAGTAAAGGGTTTCTTTCCCCAATACACAGCAAAATAAATATACAACCATTATATAAGTGGTTTCTAGTTTGTGCGCCATCTAAAATGATCCTGCATAACGCCAGAGTGCACTACACTCTGGTAAACACTAAGTTTTTGTATTTATTTGATTTGAATCACAAAAGCGTGATTATAAACCCAGATCCTATTCATTATTAGGGCTACTCTATTAAGCCTCTCTTTAGCCTGTTAAGAATAAAATGGGGAAAAAAGGACGATTCAGAAAGCTATGTAAAAATTTAGACAGAGAAAAGTTAAGACTGAATTATAACCTGGAAAGAGTCCTATAAACTCAAATTATAGATTACATTATGTAAACATCCAGGTGAATAGAGTGGCCTCCACAGAGAGGCATGTTCTGTGTGTTTTCTTGCCCTGAGAACTATCAATATTCATATATGTTAATGCCCACAACTGTGATGTTTCTTGATGGTACTAGGTATTGAAAGATGGGCAAAATTTGGAGAGACAGAGAAGAAATTAGCATTGGTACAACGCAGATTCAGGGGCTTCTTGGGGAGGCCAGTTGGACTGGAAGGGAGAATAGAGGACAGAAAGCTTCAATGTCAAGCCAAGGAGAACAGACTTCATCCCTGGACAATAAGGAGACTCTAAAAGACTTTAATTCTGAGAATTGCACAATGAAGGGCGTTTCCGAAAGTAGAGCCTGGCAGAAGCAGCCAAGCCATCTGGAGGGATCAATGGTTACCCTCAAGGGGAACCTCTTACACACTCTTCGG